TAATGCAATACAAAAGAGATCTTTGGATCAAGTACATAAACACTAATTTTGGCCACCTTATAAATAAGATGTAGGAAAATCCTTTAAGTATTTCTTAAAACACTAATAACCTTTAACTAATCTAAACTTCACATTTTTTCAGGCTGATTCTAAAACAACTGGAAATTTATTGCTCATTGAACTTAAATTAAAACTAAGAGTTTTAGTTTTATATGAAATTAATTAGTGCCAGAGAATTTCATAAAGGCTTTTTTTTAATAACTAAGTTTTCATTGGTCATATGAAAACTAAGAATGCTGAATGGCTTGCTGATATTCTCTATCATGTCGATATTAGGAAGTAAAATAAATGAATTATGAAAATTACATGAATAACTTACAATAAAAATTTTCACCTAAGATAGTCATATTACAACACAAAAATTTTTACCTTAATTATCTACATAATCATTTCCCAAAGTGTATTCTAAAGGGCACACGGTCCATAAGATACATCTCTAAAAACAGGTTCCCTGGTCAAATAAATCTGGAAAATGCTGCATACTAACTCCCCATCTTAGAGATTAACAGTACCATCACATAGTTAGAAGCTGTTAAACTTTAACCCAAATTTCCCAAGTTTATCTTGACCATGGAACACTTTTTTAAAAAATTCATAATGCAAACTAATATTCTCAGGAGCATGTGTCCCAAAGAATGAAATCTGGAAATTCTAATCTGTGAAATTGTTCTATGTTCTCACGTTGCTAGTGTTCTGATTTAGGAAAAATAATTTCCCAGTAAGAAACATTATCTCTGCCCTAGCTGGTTTGGCTTGGTGGATAGAGCTTCGGCCTGCGGACTAAAGGGTCCCAGGTTCGATTCCGGTCAAGGGCACATGCCCGGATTGCGGGCTCGATCCCCAGTGGGGGGCTTGCAGGAGGCAGCCAATCAATGGTTCGCTCTCATCATTGATGTTTCTATCTCTCTCTCCCTCTTCCTTCCTCTCTTAAATAAAAAATAAAAATAAAAAAAAGAAACATTATCTTCATTCAACTATTACCAGGACTGATAAAAGAATATTAACTTTATCAACGATATTTACCATTACATCAATCACTTCCTTCAACCACACACAGCCTTATATGTTTACCTTGGTGTGTTCCAGTAATATGTGCTTAAAATAAAAAATAGAACCTAAGTTCTAGTCCAGTAAAACTATAGATTGTGGTTCAAGATATCAATGTAAAAGGTCTTTTTTTAAAAGACTCTTTTTAAGTGAAAAGCTAGGCTAGCCCTGGCTGAGTAGCTCACTTAGAGTGTCATCCTGGTTTGATCTCTGGTCAGGGCACATAAAAGAAGCAACCAATGGCTGACTGTGTGGCCCAGTGGTTGAGAATTAACCTATGAACCAGGAGGTCACAGTTCCATTCCCGGTCTGGGACACATGCTGAGGTTGCAGGCTTGATTCCCAGTTGAGGGTGTGCAGGAGGCAGCCGATCAATGATTCTCTCTTATCACTGAAGTTACTCTCTCTCTCTCCTTCTCCTTTCCTCTCTAAAATCAACTTTTTTAAAAGAAGCAACCAATGAATGCATGTATGAATGGAACAAATCAATGTTTTTTTCTCTATTTCTAAACTCAACAGAAAAATGTAAATGAAGGCTAGGCTAGAAAAACATAAAATCCTATATAATGAAGAGCTAATATGCTAATTAGACCAAACAGCCGAATGGCCATCCAGACAACCTTCCAGATGAAGCCGGGGCTGCTAGGGCTGTTTTGGGCTGCGAGGGCCAAGCCCCTTGAACGAATTTCATGCATTGGGCCTCTAGTAGAAAACATGAGTAGTACAAAGGTAAGTACTGCCTCATGTGTATTTTATTTAAGTTGTATCTACACTAATAAAAGACAAACATGCAAATTGACCATACCTTCACTGTGCCTTAAGCCATGCCCACCAGCCAATCAGAGCGACTATATGCAAATTAACCCACCCAAGATGGCGGCCGGCAGCCACAGAGCTGGAGCGAGCAGGAGGCTTGGTTGCCCCAATGATGGAGGAAGCCAAGCTTCCTAACTGCCACGGCGGCTCTGAGCTCCACTCAAAGCAACAAAGTTTCAATTATAGAAGGTAAATAAACCCCAGATACCTGCTTTCAGCTGGCCGTGGCCACAGAGCTGGTGCGAGCAGGAGGCTTCCCTCCCACCCGCCCTGGCCAGCTCTGAGCTCCTCTCAAAGATACAAAGTTTCAATTATAGAAGGTAAATAAATCCCAGAATAAAAAAAAGAAAGAAAGAAAAAAAGGAGAGGCTGGGAGCGTCCGTTGCCGGGGGGCTTGGCCAGCCTGAAAACGGCCATCAGCCCCTCACCCAGACTGGCCAGGCACCCCAGTGGACCCCCCCCCCAAAGGGGGTGTAGCCAGCCTGAAAACAGCCCTCAGCCCCTCACCCAGGCTGGCCAAACCTCCATGGGGTGAGGATCCCCACTGGGGGGAGCTTGACCAGCCTGCAAACAGCCATTAGCCCCTCACCCAGGCTGGCCAGGGACCCCAGTGGGGACCCCCACCCTGAAGGGGTGTGACCAGCTGCAAACAGCCATCAGCCCCTCACCCAGGCTGGCCAGGCACCCAAGCGGGACCCCTACCCTGATCCCGGGACACCCTTCAGGGCAAACCAGCCGGCCTCACCCGTGCACCAGGCCTGTATCACATATAATAAAAGGGTAATATGCAAACTGACCCTAACAGCAGAACGACGGGGAATGACTGGTCACTATGACACACACTAACCACCAGGAGGCAGACACTCAATGCAGGAGCTGCCCCCTGGTGGTCAGTGTGCTCCCACAGGGGGAGCTCTGCTCAGCCACAAGCCAGGCTGATGGCTGCCAATACAGCAGTGGTGGTGGGAGCCTCTCCCGCCTCCTCAGCAGCGCTAAGGATGTCCGACTGCAGCTTAGGCCTGTTCCCCGCTGGCAAGTGGACATCCCCCAAGCGCTGCCGGGCTGCCAGAGGGATATCTGACTGCCAGCTTAGGCCCAATCCCCCAGGGAGCGGGCCTAAGCCAGCAGGTGGACATCCTCCGAGGGGTCCCAGACTGCAAGAGGGCACAGGCCGGGCTGAGGGATCCCCCTGAGTGCACAAATTTTTGTGCATCAGGCCTCTAGTATACATATATTTATACTGGTCTGCATGTAAAATGCATTTCTTAATGTGGGTTGTAATCATAAAAACTTAAGAATGCACCCTGGCTGGGTGGCTCAGTTGGTTAGAGCATTGGCCCCATACACCAAAAGGCTCCTGATTTGATTCCTGCTGGGGGCAGGTACAGGAGACAACCAATTAAAAATTCTCTTTCTCTCTCTCTCTCCCTCCTTCACTCCCTCCCCACCTCCCGCCTTCTCTTGCTCTCCTTCATCCTCTCTTTCTAAAATCAATAAACATATCCATGGGTGAGGATTAAAATAAAACTTAATGCTGAGTTCAAAAAAGTTGGGTTAAACAGACTCCTTTACTGCAGGACTTTTTAGAGCCTTTAATGAATCTTCAAGAGCATTTGTAACCACAGGAACCTTTTTTAATTGAAGCATTTTGCAGGACTACTATTTTTTGGAACACAACTTAAGAAATACTGGCTTTTGGAAACCATGCATACCCAACTGTTCTGAGGCACATAATATAAAACCAATATTCAATTTTTACCTCTTTCAGAATATCCACAGATTTCTCATATTAACTGCTGGTTCCTCAAATTGATAATGGTTTTAATTTGATTAGCTCAAAGTAGTTAGTGCCTGTGTTTCAGTTTTGGCTCTATCACTTATTGGCTTATCGGTCTTGCATTATTATTTATTCTCTTTCCCACAGCTTCCTCATCTATACTAATGAAAGGATAATATGCTAATTAGTCTGGGTCGACCAGCCATCTTCCGGACATCCGACTTCCTTCCAGACAAAGCCATGGTGGCAGAAGCAGTTAGAGGTGATCAGGCCAGCAGGGGAGGGCAGTTGGGGGCGACCAGGCTGGCAGGGGAGGGCAGATGGGGGTGAGATCAGGCTGGCAAGGGAGGGCAGTGAGGGGCAAGATAAGGCTGGCAGGGGAGGGCAGTTGGGGGCGAGATCAGGCCTGCAGGGGAGGGCCACTGGGGGCGACCAGGCCAGCAGGGGAGGGCCACTGGGGAAAACCAGGCCGGGTGAGATGGCTGTTGGGGTCGACCAGGCCAGCAGGGGAGAGCAGTTGGGGGCGATTAGGCAGGCAGAAGAGCAGTTAGGGGTGATCAGGCAGGCAGGCAGAGGGGTTAGGGGTGATCAGGCAGGCAGGGAGGCAGAGTGGTTAGGGGCGATCAGGCAGGCAGGGAGGCAGAGTGGTTAGGGGCAATCGGGCAGGCAGGCAGGTGAGCAGTTAGGAGCCAGCGGTCCCAGATTTCGAGAGGGATGTCCGACTGCCGGTCGGTCAAACATCCCCTGCGTAGTCCCAGATAGGAGAGGGTGCAGGCTGGGCTGAGGGAACCCTCCCATGCACGAATTTCATGCACTGGGCCTCCAGTATGGTATAAAAAAGACTAATAGGAATAGTTAAGTCACAGATTTTGGGACTTATTTAGGATTAAATGTGAAAATACACGTAAAGGAGTTGGTCCAGCACCTGGCATGTAATAAGTATTCACATATGATAGATATCAATCACTATCAGAAGAACACTATTACAGCTTCAGTAATTCTGAAATCCAGTCAAAGCTGAAGAAACTAAAAACACTATGCTGCCACCCAGTGGGCACTATGATGCACTAAGATAGCAGGTTCCTTCCTGCTATTACGTATGAAGCAGAATTAACACGAAAAATTTCTCTCAAGTTTCATTAGCACAATTTACACAACATCAGAGTGGGGAATATAATGTTTAAAAATTCAATAATACTTTAATTCAACCCTGAAACCAGGAAGGGTTATCATAAACACTACAATTGAATAAAGAAATGGGCAGAGAAGGAAACTGTGAAGGGCTGCAGAAAAATTCCCCTCACAGAGGCTGGACTGCTGCTTCAGTCAGGGTTTTTTCCTAAAAGTACAACACAAACACAGCCATAGCATTTATCACATCTAAGGCAAAACAGCACATAATCAAAAGTTAAAGGATATCATAGTGGAATCTTCACATTTTCTTCCTAAATCAGTGGTTCTCAACCTTGGCTGCACATTAGAATCACCTGGGAATCTTTTTAAAATCCTGATTTCTGGGCCTCATCCTCCAGAAATTCTGTTTCTTTGTTATGGGGTGAAGCCACAACATTAGTAACAAAGAAACAGAATTTCCGGAGAATGAGGCCCAGAAATCAGGATTTTAAAAAGATTCCGGGGATTTTTTTTTTTGGGCCGGGTTGGAAACCATTTTCTTTAAAGGGAGGTTGAGCCTTTCCAGGAAAACCCTCGCATGGGTTGGCTGGCCTTTTTTCCAAAAACAAAAAAAGATGCAGGTTTTTTTAAAATTGAGGGGGAAAACCCCCCCTTTTTGGGAAAAAAGGCCCCCTTCCGTTTAATGGTAGGGGTCGGGCACCACACCCCCCATCTTCCGGGGCAGGGGG